TAGCAATAAATGTAATATTCTGTTTGAAATAATATTAACTGTGTACTTTTAAAGAGAATTTCTATATATGGTTTAAAGGACCTTTTTTAGTCCGCCTACAAAATGTTATGGTGGGGTTGGGTGGGGAGGGGAAAGGGGGGGGGGGGTTTATATAACCTCGTCTCACATGGGAGGTGGAAAATGGGTTCAATGGACAAGATCCATACCGCCCCCTTCCCACCTTCACACACCCTTTTTTGTCTAGAAAATGGAGAAAATGGTGGTAGGCCAAAACTGGATTGTGGTGAGCATCACGCTGGCCATCTTTACTTCCCATGACTTTATCTAGTACCCATTTTAGGCTGGTCAGCTTTGGAGGTTAAGGCCATGTAAAAAAAAAAGTTTATACCAATTTGAGCCCAAAATCTTTGAGCTTTTAGCCAATATATGCTTCTTAGAGACAGTCTTCTTCTTGTTAGCAATCACCAGTTGTAACTTCTTAGAGACAGTCTTCTTCTTGTTAGCGGTCACCAGTTGTAAACTTATTGTTTGTCCACTCCTGGACATGTACACTCAGGTGGAATGTTCTTGTTGTTTAACCAGTCCTGGACCTGTAAACTCAGGTGGAATGTTCTTGTTGTTTGTCCAGTCCTGGACCTGTAAACTCAGGTGGAATGTTCTTGTTGTTTGTCCAATCCTGGACCTGTAAACTCAGGTGGAATGTTCTTGTTGATTGTCCAGTCCTGGACCTGTAAACTCAGGTGGAATGTTCTTGTTGTTTTTCTACTCTTTGATGTGTAAACTTAGGTAGAATGTTCATGTTGTTTGTCCTCTTCTGGACCTGTAAACTCAGGTGGAATGTTCTTGTTGTTTGTCCAGTCCTGGACGTTAGTCTTGTTCAGAAAGTGAATTTTGTATGCACATCCGTTTAACAGATCTGGATGACTTGCATAGAGACAGTGATACTACTCAATTAAAAAAACACACACACACACACAATGTAGTGTAGCGGTTCAAAGTCTACTCTGTAGAGTGAATATCTTTTTCAATTCTGTACCTGTGAAATTGAGCCTTATATTTTATTGTAACTATTTTTTAATCATGTATCTTGTTGTTGTGTATGACAGAAGAACAAAAGACTTGCAGAAGCATTTGGACTCTGAGAAAATCTCAATAGATGATGAAACTGAGGAAGAGAGAAGACAGAGATTAGAAGATCTAGAGGATATAGACTTGTTGGACAGACAGCGATGGAATGATGACCAGGTTTCTGTTTCCAATTTTATTAATTTTCCTTGTTTTATTCTTTTCAAGCTTTTGTTTATACATTTGTGACTTTATGTTTCATTTACTGATTTAACCCATTAATTTCTTTGGTTCTTTTGTAACATCCTAGCCCAGATGATGTTACAGGACAGTCCAAAGGTTTAGTGGGTTTACTGGCTTTCTGATGCTTTTAACAAACCTAAAACATCTAGAACTGGCCCTAATCCCAACCCACCTACGTCCCACGAGAGAGTGCAGCCTAGGTCCTACGAATGCAAGCAGCCTAGGTCCCACGACTGCATGCAGCCTATCTACTACCCCCTGAAATATTAGACTGTCCCGTGACCTGTGGATTTCCCCTGTTTGGTGTAGGATATAAAGAAAGCACCATTTCTTCTTCTTCTTTTCATTCTCCCTGGCACTGGTTTTCAGATCAGAAAGCCACAGGTCCCCATAAAGACATCCTCCACCAAACCATACAGCTTGGTTTCTGCTGGAATGCTAATTGCTCGGAGCTGCAGTCTCTTTACTGCACGTGGAGAAGATGTCTGTGGCACATGTTCGGTATTTTGTGATGATTTTATGAGTCCCTAGTCTTGAATTTCGTGTACATCTGGCTGTGGTGCCTGTTTTTGCATAAAAAGGTTGATTGAGTCTTCAGGATTACGTTCGGGATAGGAAATGCTCCGGCTGGTTTTAATAGCTGCCTTGATGTGGATTTTACTTTTCCTATAAGTGCATACTGCATCTGACTGTTATCTGTTACCAACAATGTTGCAGTGGCCTGGGATCCATTGGAATAGTCTGCTTGGTCAGTTGACGCATTCAATTCAGGAGATAATTGTATCCCAAGCATCAGTTGCTTTAACTCTTTCAGTCGCAAGCAGTTATTTTTCAACTGAAGAAATCAGTGGACATTCCTATTCCAGTAAATGTAAAATTAGTTAGTACTTAAGCCTAGAGGATTTCAGCAAAGACACTGTGGAGCAGAAGTAGTTAAACTAATATTTCTGATATTATATGTGATAGATGACAGCAAAGATATCATATTATCTTAAAAATGAACAAGGAACTTATGGTGAGTTGATTGGTATTGAAAGAGTTGGTCTGTGTGGGTCTAAAACAATTCAGATATCAATTTCACAGAACAGTGGTTCTCAGTTTGCTAAGGTCCACAGACGTCTCTTATTTATGAATGTCTGACACAGATCCCATACCTTTTTAATAATTATATTGAGAAAATTATTATAATTGATAAATATTAGAATTACAAAACAGATTCCATTCTTCTTGTTCTTCTCAGCATTAACTGGCCGTTAACTCCAGCTGAAATCTCTGGTTGTTTAACTCCAGCTGAAAGCTCTGGTTGTTTGACTCCAGCTGAAAGCTCTGGTTGTTTAACTCCAGCTGAAAGCTCTGGTTGTTTAACTCCAGCTGAAAGCTCTGGTTGTTTAACTCCAGCTGAAAGCTCTGGTTGTTTAACTCCAGCTGAAAGCTCTGGTTGTTTAACTTCAGCTGAAAGCTCTGGTTGTTCAACTCCAGCTGAAAGCTCTGGTTGTTTAACTCCAGCTGAAAGCTCTGGTTGTTTAACTCCAGCTGAAAGCTCTGGTTGTATGACTCCAGCTGAAAGCTCTGGTTGTTTAACTCCAGCTGAAATCTCTGGTTGTTTAACTCCAGCTGAAATATCTGGTTGTTTAACTCCAGCTGAAAGCTCTGGTTGTTTGACTCCAGCTAAAATCTCTGGTTGTTTAACTCCAGCTGAAATATCTGGTTGTTTAACTCCAGCTGAAAGCTCTATTTGACTCCAGCTGAAATCTCTGGTTGTTTAACTCCAGCTGAAAGCTCTGGTTGTTTAACTCCAGCTGAAAGCTCTGGTTGTTTAACTCCAGCTGAAAGCTCTGGTTGTTCAACTCCAGCTGAAAGCTCTGGTTGTTTAACTCCAGCTAAAAGCTCTGGTTGTTTAACTCCAGCTGAAAGCTCTGGTTGTTTAACTCCAGCTGAAAGCTCTGGTTGTTTAACTCCAGCTGAAATATCTGGTTGTTTAACTCCAGCTGAAAGCTCTGGTTGTTTGACTCCAGCTGAAATCTCTGATTGTTAAACTCCAGCTGAAAGCTCTGGTTGTTTAACTCCAGCTTAAATCTCTGGTTGTTTAACTCCAGCTGAAAGCTCTGGTTGTTTAACTCCAGCTGAAAGCTCTGGTTGTTTGACTCCAGCTGAAAGCTCTGGTTGTTTAACTCCAGCTGAAAGCTCTGGTTGTTAATTTACTTCCAGACTTTAGTCTTGTTCCAGAACTTGAATTTTGCGGGCATATCAGTTTACAGGTCTGCTTATTAGTATGCACACTGTTGGTTCCTCACCTCTTAAGCAAATGGTCTCCAACTTCAGAAGAAAAATCCCTAATTGGTCACCTTTTACTGTGTGTTTGATGTGGAGACAGTGAGTCTGTTCTGTTCTCCCCTAAAATGAGTTCGCAGAACCCACACAAGGATGATTGCATTCTAATTTTTTAGTGTGTAAATGATATCATAGACCTCATTGTGGCGACTGTCTGGGGGAACTATCCACAAGGATAAGTGGACATCTGTGGAATGCCCTCTTCTGTTAGCAGGAAATTCACTAAGCAGGGTACTAACTTGTCCTGACGATCTTAAGGGTTGCCAGAGGCTGAAGACATAGACTAAAGCCACAGAGGTTTTGAAAGCAAGGGGAAACTACCACATTATTATCCCAGGAAACCTATCTATAGGTGCAGGGTATAAGTAACATCTTGGGTAGGAAAGTGCACGAGGTGGGAAATCTGGTAAGAGACTGAGTTTCCTTCAGGCAGGCCATGATGAGAACGACGTTCTGCCAAGGACCTGCCAAATGATGATCATGTTGATAATGATTCAAAAGTTTTGATTTACTTTCCCTACTGTCTTTATCGTTACAATTTCTGTTTTGAGCATTTTCTATCCTTCTTAAGACGTTATTTTTTGTTATTTGAAGCCCCACTCTGGCTTTTGCCAGGGGCCGCAATATAGGCAGGTCATCATTATGGCCAAATGTCTGAACGCGGTTTCTGGGACCTCTCCACGGTGATCCTCATCCGCATGGTGGCACTTTGTGTCATCGGGTGTTTATCGCTTGTGTGATGTCCTGGTGGGGTAAAAAAGCCAAGCCAAGCCAAGCCTTTTCTATCATTACATTACATCCCTTACTTACGTCCTTTTCAGGACGCAATTTTTTCTTATTTGAAGCCCCACTCTGGCTTTTGCCAGGGGCTGCAATATAGGCAGGCGATCAATATGGCCAATTGTCTGAACGCGGTTTCTGGGACCTCTCCACGGTGATCCTCATCCGCATGGTGGCACTTTGTGTCATCGGGTGTTTATCGCTTGTGTGATGTCCTGGTGGGGTAGAAAGTCAGTCAGTCAGTTTTCTATCATGTAAGTTGTCCCCTTGTGGGATGCAATTTTTCGTTATTTTGAATCCCCACCCTGGCTGTTGCTGGGAGCCCTAATATAACTTAACAGTTGAATGGGGTTTCCGAGACTTCTCCATGCGTGATCCTCATCCTCATGGTGGCATTCTTGTCACCGGGTGTTTATTACTCTGTGTGATGTCCTGGTGGTGTAAAATTTACTTACTAATTTACTTACTTTTTATTTTGTAGTCATGTTTATACCCCCCTCCCCCCAAAATAACCTTGTATTTATTCCCTTATTTAATACCTATATTTGTGAATCTCTTTTTTCTTCTCCATAGGAAGAAAGAAGAAGAAGAGCCATGGAAGACAGGTTGAGGGAAGATGAAAGAAAGCGAGAAAAAGATGAAATTGAAGAAAGAAGAAGGAAAGAAAGTGAAGAAAGGAAACAGCGAGAGGAGGAAGAAAACAAAAAGAGAAAAGAAAATGAAAGAAAAAGAAAAGAAGATGAAGACAAGAAAAGAAGAGAAGAAGAGGAAAAGAAAAACAGAGAAGATGAGGAGGAGAGGAAAAGAGAAGAGGATAAAAAGAAAAAACAGGAGGAAGAGGGAAAGAAAAGAAAAGAATTAGACAAAAAAGAAAAAGAGGAGGCCGAAAAGAAGAAAAAGGAAGAAATGGACAAACACCAAAGAGACGAAGAGTTGAGAAAGAAAAAAGATGCAGAAGAGCTGAAAAGTAAAAAAGAAGAACAAGAAAGAAAACAAGAAGAAGAAGAATTTAAGAAACTAAATAATGTAAGTAATTGTATTTAGTAACATTGTATATTTCTGAAGGTGATGCCAGCGCTAAGTTTTTGGCTTTGAATAAATATCATCCCCATGTGGGTTCAAGGGCTCCATTTTGGATTAAAATAAAAATGGATCCACAGACCTGCATATAAGGTGATAATTAGTGTCAGAGTGTATCTGCCTGAGAGGCAAGGAACCAACAGTCTGCATACAAATAAGCTAGATTTGTAAAATAGATGTGCATGCAAACCCTAAGCCTGGGAACAAGACTAAGAGTCCAGAAGTGGATGAACAGCCAGAACTTTCTGCTGGAGTTTACAGCCAGTGAATGCTAAGAAGAAGAAAGAGAAGATATATTTTCTTGTTATAATCCATACTTTGAGGTGTCACTCGTTATGTCTGATAACAGCCGTCCGTCTTGTGCATTGTCAGTCATTTATGATACAACATTATTCTATGCCATAATGCCACAATTTCCAGCATCCTGTCTTTTAGTCTTCCCCTACCTCTCTTTCCCCTCCAGCTTTCCTGTGTGAGTTATGAGTTGCATAATTTGAGTTGAGAACCACATTATAGCACTCAGAACACTTTGCCTCCATCTTCAACAGCAACTGTAGAGTTCTGCTTTTGATGGTACCAGTAACAGTCTGATTGTATGTCTGTCTTGCCACTCCCTTGAATGTTGAGTGTTGGCCATACCCCCTGATCATTCCTTGCTGCTCTTGTAGTCACAGTGTCTGTCTATTGATGTACCCAAAGAATGTGTATTGTCTACTTCTGATAGAAAGCAGATATATAGAAATAAATCTATAGACATAGGTAAAGGTCAGGAAATGAAGAGAATCGCTAAATGGCAAAGGAGCAGAGAGACTTTCTTGTTTTGTCAGTATCTGCTTTGTGCTGCTAAGCATTAGAGTTAAACAGATAATAGGTAAATGAGCTAGGGCACACTCGGCTGTGTGGTATACTGTGATGTTGTGAGATCTTCAGTCCATCTTCTAGGCTCTGCCACCCGGCATATCCTTTTTCATGTTGCATGCTTTTGCTGCCAGGAAAAAGAAATAGGAGTAATAAAAGAATAGATAACCTAACAAGAACTTCTGGTACTGGTAAAGTTACCAGCTCTTAAAAAGGCGAAGAGGGTTAAAATACAGTGAATGAATTAATGAATTGACAACACGACACTGTGGACATTCTTACTCGTGCTCCGTCCCCTTCTTCGGTAGCCAATAAAGAGTTGACATGCTAATAGTACCAGCTGCAAACTAATCAAAAGTTGGCTTCTGTTTCCCCTTCAATGTTGAATATCTTACAGAACCTTTACTCACCCCCCATTCAATTAGTCTTTCAGTGTATGGATTCCCTGTCTGTTCTTTTGCACTGTCCATTTGATCCCATAGAGCCTTGACCACAATTATCGCCAGCATTTTTAAAAACATTTTTATTACTTTAACTCCTTCTGTCCCCCACATTTATTATTCTGATTCTGTTTTGTTCTTGACATTTATTTTCTAAACTCCTTTTGTCGCAGATATTTATTACGTTAGCTGCTTCTGTCCCAGATATTCATTACTTTAACTCTTTCTGTCTCAGACATTTATCACTTTAACTCTGTCTGTCTGCACATTTATTACTTGAACTCATTTTGTATTACTTTAATTCCTTTTTTGTTCAGGACATTTATTACTTAAACTCCTTCTGTCTCAGACATTTATTACTTTAATTCTTTTTGTTTTAGACATTTCTGACTTTAATTCTTTTTTGTTCCAGACATTTATTGCTCTAGCTTATTGTGTCTTCAACATTTATTACTTTAACTCCCCCCCCCCCCCCCCCCCTAGACATTTATAATTCTCCCTGACATACTTTGATTAAAAATAGCAGAAAGAATTATCTTTCTCACCTGAATCAAGCAGTTCATTATTATTATTATGCATACATTTTTTTAAATTTGCATTTAATCTGAGAATGTTGAAGACATTCTAATAGTCAATACAAATTTAAGTTTATTTTTGAAATTAGGGTTTTTGAGAATGAACCATTTTATGATATACTTTAAAAGAATGTGCCTGACTGTGTGTTTCCTTATAACCAGCATGTGCCTTCACCAGATGAAATGATCAGAGATACAGAGTCTGCTCGACAGCGCCGAAGAGATGAAAGTAAGCCTGCTAGTTTTTGGCTTCCTTTTTCTTTCAAATTGAAGTTTTGTGATTTCTTGAAGTATTTCTTGTTTATAACCGGATGAAAATAGAGCTTTAGCTTCTGCTAAAAATGATTATTGTGTATCTTGGGAAATACTTTAAAAATTAAAATGTGTTTAGTTTTATAGGAAGCCACCGTGGCATGGCAGCTGGACGCTCGCCTGCAGATCTGGAAATCATGGGTCCATATCCTCACAGAGTTGGACTTGTTTCAGAAATGACTTTGGCTCCCAGGTCGACCCAGCCTTAAATGGTTGCCAATTAAAGTCTTGGGAAGTAAAGGTGGCCGGAATGATGTTGACCACATCACCTACCGAGTGCCGATTAAAATATAGGTCTAGCTCTTTATGCCAAGATACACCTGTAGGCGTGGAAAAGGGTCTTTTACTTTGGTGTTAAAACTTCACCTGTGATATGATAGGTCATGACATTTTTAGATGGGGTGACCACCAGCAACAGGGTTGACCACCTTTCATTGTTTAAAAACTTGCTACAGTTAATGTTATCTGCTATTCTGGTTATTAACCAAGAAGTTAAAGCAATAAATGTCTGGGACAGAAAGAGTTAAAGTTAAAACTGTCTGGGACAGAAGTTAAAGTAGTAAATATCTGGAAGAGAAGGATTTAAGTAATAAATTTATGGGAGAGAGGATATAAGTTAGTTTAATGAGCACTCACATATTTTCATTTGCTACAAAATGGTGAAAGGACTTGCACAGCAGCATTGCCTTAGATTTTGCTAAAAGGTTGCCAGTATCAAAATAAAGCTTATTCTAGGATGAGGAATGAAATATGAAAACTTAATATGGCAGGGCAGATTAGGCCCTCTGCCTTGGTTGACACCAGGTCTAGGAGGGAAGCTGTGAAAGGCAGACAGAGCATTGCTCTTCTAGTCTGACAGCTTCTGCAGCAAGCTTTATTCCAAGTGTATTGGTATTACCATTCTTTGTTGTAAACACAACAGGCCAAGGGAGGGATCATCCTACATAGGCACCCATGGTGTCTACAATTTAGCCCAGGATTTGGACTATGGAGAGGAGAAACGCCATCCCTTGCGTCCCCATGGGCTAAGATCCTATGCCTTCCTATAGCAGAATATAACACTGATTGTCCCCGTGTGGGTTCCAGGGTCCCATTGTGGGGAAAACAAGTATAGACTCACAGCCTTCCCAACAAGCATGTCGTAAGAGTCGACTAATTGGGTGCTTCTTTTTAAGTCGGAGTGCATCTGCCTAAGAGGCAAGGAACCAACAATCTGCATACAAGTGTGTCAGATCTGTAAAATGAATGTGTATGCAACACTCAGGTTCTGGAACAAGACTAATGTCCAGAGGTGGAAGAGCAACCAGAACCAGTTTACAGCTAGTGAACGCAAAGAAGAAAAAGAAGATAACACTGACTGCTAGAGACAGAAAGGTACCAACTAACAACTGTGTTTTTCGAACTTGATAAAAATGGGACTTGAGCTTCTGCTGAAAATTATATAAATGTCTTATAGGAAATACTTTGTAGGTGGGCTTCAGATGAAAACCTTAACAGTGTTATAGAAGTTTCAGTAACCATGCCATTGTTTTGTAACCTGTCAGCATTGTTGTTAAGGCTGTCAAGAGTGTTGAGCTGCAGATAAATACAATGAAGTCATAATGACAGTTTGAAGATGGTTGCCTCACTTTTGACACACACCAGAGAGGAGCACCATTAAGTTATCCTTTTTTGTTTGTTCAAATTAGTGAAATGGTGCATTCAGTGAAATTTACTGGGAAATGAAGGTCCCATTAGGATGATGCCTTTCATTCCAGTATGAGTGGAGTAGGAATTTGCAAAATGGCATGATATCTGTGACAGACTATTCATAACTGGGTTAGGCACACCCAGTAGTGAACCTGGGGTCTTTTGCAGCCTAAGCTGGTGAACACAAACAGGAGGAAGAAGAAGAAGAAGACTAAGGCCAAAGATAGCAAGACATGCAGACATCAGAGCCACAGTCATATTGACAATTTTCTTTATCACCCAGGAAGTGGTAGATCATAATTAATTATCAGCATAGTGACTAGCCACTCACTTGCAGGACCAAAAATCTTGGCGTTTAGAATCTGCAGCGTCCAATTTGATTCTTTAAAATTGACCTTGGCTCTAAGTTGACCTAGCCTGAAACAGAAATAAGGTAATGTCCAGGGAAGTAAAGGTAGCCAGTATGATGTTTACCATATCACCTGCCAAGTACTGATTGGTCTATAAAATATTATTCTAGAATCATTTACTTGATGCTTCAATGTGGTTCCTTTATTTTCATTTTTATGCTGCCGGTGTTAAAAAAAAGCTTTTTAGTTATACTGTCTAAAGTCCATATAACTAGTTATTGTTGACTATTTGATCTGTTCTGTATATTTCTGGCAATCAAACGCGCAGGATTTACTGTTTTGTTTTTTACTTTTGAGGGAGTCTGCTAGGCGAAGTGGGCAAGCTCTTTGCACGACACTCTGAATCTCATGGATTTGTTTCACTGCTCGTCATTCAGTTCACAAGTGAAATTTTTACCAAGATCTCTGGGGATTGTTGACAGAATTACAGAGTTTGTACTTTTTGTGACCTTTTCGGCTGGCAGTGAGCCATTTTGCTGAGAAAGACTGAGCCATATAGATAAAACCTGGTGCAGTGAAGTTGTTCCTTTTGACTTTATTGTGTTTGTTTGTTGTTTGTTTTAGTATTCAGAAGCCATGAGTTGTTAACCCTTAGGCTCGGTATTATGGATATAGCAACCTTTCGGCCTTGATTCCATTGTAAATACCGTAAATCTGGGAGAAAATGTAGCTTTTCTGCCCACCCCCAGGAGTGAAGCCGGACCACAAGGAGTTCGTCATCCACTCACTGTGCAATCCGGTTTAGCCAGCTACGCTAGAGAGCCGGGCTGATGGTAGCCTATGGCTGGATGCTTGCCTGCCAGCTCAAAGATCTTGTTAAAATGTATATTGTCCACACATTGGATACAGGTCCCCATGATGGGGTAAAAGTAGTAGAGTCACTGCCTCCTTCAAAACCTCTCCTATTTGCAGTAGACCTGACTAATGATTAATTTATCTTTAGAAAGGTCAAATCTAGTCGATTGTTTATCGAATCTCACGCATGCACACACATACATATACATATCTGTATGCACACATGTGCATTAAAACACACATACACACACACACACACACACAACACACACACAACTATTATCAGTGCATGCTCTCAAATTTTTAATTTTGATTTCCTTGCTGGTGCTTAACCATAGAATCTTAATGCTGTTTAATCTTCCATCATGAGTTTTTTGGAATATAGTGTGGTAGTTTCCCCTTGCTTTCCACATCCACATGACTTTAGACTATGTTCTCAGCCTTCAGCAACCTTTTAGATTGCCAGGGCAAGTGAATGCCCTGCTCTGGGATACTCCTGCTAACAGCAGATGGCACCCCAGAAGTGGATTCTCAGTCCCCATAGCTGTGTCGGCCACACTGCAGTGTGTTTACCATCCTCTGCCATATGGAGGTGCAGTTGAGGTGTCCTCTTCACTGCATTTTGAGACCAGAATAGCATTTTCTTTTTTATGTTCCATGTTATGAATTGTCAAATTATGTACTTACAAGAGCATCATTGGGCATTGAACATTCCTATGCATGCTGAGACCTTCAACACAGCAGCCACCCTAAGCTACCTTTACTTATTGTTTCCATGAGATATTGGTTGTAACAGCATGATATGCATCACCGTATCCATTTAGTTCCAGGTCAAATTATCGCCTTTATGCCAGAAATTCATCATTATTGAACAGCAAGGCCCAAACAGTGTTGATGGTGCCAGCTCTGTCCATATTTTTTCCTGCATGCATTGTTGCATTATTTGCCAGTTTTTTTTGGGTGTGGGAGGTCAAGTTTGGCTTCTGAAAACTGTTTACAGATTTATTAAGGAGGGGAGAGGCCATATTGTAGCCGCTAGATGCTAGCCTGCATATCCCAAGGTCCTGGGTTTGGGTCCCGGCGGAGCCAGGCTTTAAAAAAAAAAATTACCTTGGCTTCCAGGTCAACCTAGCCTTAAATGGCTATCAGTTAAAGTCCTGGGAAGTAAAGGTGGCTGGCATAATGTTGATCACATCACTTACTGTAATTGTTAATTTTACTCTGTGTCGGTTTAATAATGCTGTTAAATTCCTGCCATCTTTAGAACAACTATGTCATTCAGTCCACAAAACTGCAGCATGAAATAGAGGACCTCCAACGCAGAGTAGAAAATGCCAGAATGAAGCTGACAGCAGAAATGAAGGTAAATAATCCTTTAATAAATACTGAAAAATTGATTTTCATTGAAATTGATGATAGTGAGAATGTCACATGATTACAGGGCTCATTGAAAGGTAAGCATTTTTTTTTTTTTAAATTTGGAAGTTGGTAACTCAGTATTTTACTTTCCAGTTTTGTGCATAAATTTAAATATTGTGAGTGGATGTCAGTTAGTGTTTTATGTTATTAGTTAATTATGGTCTCATAGTGAAATAGTTAAGTCCTGGGTCTAGTGCTTCACAGAAGTGTTCATCAACCTTTTTACATCTGTGGCCTACCAAAACAGGGGGGGGGGGGGGGGGCATTACTTTACTCCACAACCTGGTAGCTAACTAAACATAAAAAGACACAAAAAAAGCAAAGCTGTTTTATTAATATCCTACCCCAAACGAGGGGAAATCCACAGGTCACGGAACAGTCTAATATTTCAGGGGGTGCTAGATGGGCTGCATGCAGTCGTGTGACCTAGGCTGCACTCTCTTGTGGGACGTAGGTGGGTTAGGGATAGGGCCAGTTCTAGGTATTTTGGAGTCAGAAAGCCGGGAAACCCAGTCCTACCACTCTCTAAAATGTTGAACTGTCCTGTGATGTCATCTGGGGTAGGATATTAATAACCCACCCCCCCAAAAAAAAAAAGATGTAGACAGCAGTTTATTTGTTAAATCTGATTTCATAAAGTTACAGTTTTAAGCTAATGGGACATCTACTGCTGCTTAGAGGTTAATTAAAAGAAAACTATATGTGGCTGGAGCGTTGTTTCTGATATAAGAAGTGCTAAAGTACCAACTGTTTCTTCTTCTTCTTCTTTTTTCTCTTCTTCTTCTTCTTCTTCTTCTTCTTCTTCTTCTTCTTCTTCTTCTTCTTCTTCTTCTTCTTCTTCTTCTTCTTCTTCTTCTTCTTCTTTGTGTTCACCTGCTGTAAACTCTGGTGGAAAGTTCTGGCTGCTCGTTCACCTCTGGACTTTAGACTTGCTCCAGAATCTAAATGTTGCCTGCATACCCGTTTTTTAGATCTGACTTGTTTGTTTGCATATTGTTGGCTCCTTGCCTCTTAGACAGGTGCACTCTGACTTCGAAGGAAACCCCCAGTTAGTTGACTCTTAATGACATGCTTGTTGGGGGACGGAGGGTCTGCTCTTGTTTTCCCCACAATGAGGCCCCAGGAACCCACACGGGGAAACTTCTGTTTGATTTCTCTATTTGATTTTAGTTTTCACACAAATAGGAAGTCCTTGAGGTGTTAATCATACGGACTAGAAGAGAACAATCACCTACCCCTGCTTGTCCCACAATTAAGCAGAATTTTTGCTGGCTTACAGGAACTTGTCCACAACCCCCCAATAAAAGACCGTGGCACATGATTTGAAGAACAGGGCTCAACAGGCTTTGGGTTTGATTCCAAACTCTGTCGTTCACTTTGCATGATAAGGTGTTTAAGAAATCCCATGAGTTTTTTGCAGGAACTATAGAATTATTATTTTATGCAATGCTGTCATTTTTTTTTCTTTTCTGAAAAGCTTTTTACTTCAAATAGCTAGTAGTTATTCTGATAATTAAAGAATTCCATTTCTTGCTGGCTTGTATACAGGCAGACTGTGTACAGATAGCACATCTTGAATTGTTGCTTGCTGTTGATGTGCTTTTCCTGGTCATAGAATCATGCATTTAATATGTGTTGCCGTCACTTATATAAATATTTTGCTTCTTTTTTAATTGCACTGTTGTGTTTAATGTTGCTATGTATTTTATTATCTTAACTTTTCTTAAGATTATTATTTATTTTAATGTAATAAATGTGAGTATATTCATGCTAAGAACTTGACAGTGTTAAGTTTAAAATCTGTTCAATATTTCATGTTTATTGTTTGCTTTTCAGTTTAAATTCATTTCTTTGTGTCGTGTTTGTTCTTTGTCAAATACTAATTTAATAATCATAGCTTATTTTCAGAATAAATGTTTATGTTCAATTTAGTCAGCTTTAAAGTTCCTTTCAGTTTGAACAATTCAAGTGAAATTTCTCATTTATTCATCTGCTGCTTAATCATATATATTTATAGATGTTTTTACTAATACTTGAAATTTAAAATTCAGATTGGCAAGTTTTACATCTTAAATAAGTTTCTTAACCAGGTTTTATTTTCTCTGGTCTGCATTTGCTTCTGAACTCTTTCAGTACAAGAGGAAGGTTTTGTAGGATGTGCCAATAAAGAAATATGCGTGATTTAAATGTGCCAGTGAATTACTATCAAAGTGGTAATTATAACAGTAGTTGTGAATGTTGAACAAGCTAGATTTCTTAAATATGTTCTGACCAAATACAAACACAAGAGAGCATATTAAGCTAAGTGGGGGATTAGGCAAATATGGTGATTGGCACATCATGCGTTCTTTGAGACTAAAAGAGGTAATTCGATTTTCATTTTCCCGACCTACCTTTGCAGTAACAAGAACTAAATCTATTGATCAGCATTTTTGTAAGCATGTAGATAATTATAATTTGACAACACAGACTAAAGAAGAAGTACTATACCATGCCATGCCACTGTTGTTTTCCTATCTGGGCTGCTACTTGAGGGTTTTACTTACCTGAGATTACAGTATCTTAGTCTGGATGGCAGACCAACAGGGCAGTCCCTACTACCCAATTCAACCTCCTAAAATGTTAAAACTGGTGCATCTGTAACGGCTACACCAAGATCAGGATCATGTAAACAGTTAAAGATTGAAAGATATGAAAATTTACTCTTTGAGTTACTGAGTGTTCATCTTTTTGGTAGTAGTCTTGAAGGCGACTGACTGACTTTCTACCCCACTAGGACATCACACAAGCGTTAAACACCCAATGACACAAAGTGCCACCATTTGGATAAGGATCACTGTGGAGAGGTTGCAGAAACCGCGTTCAGACAATTGGCCATATTTATGGCCTGCCTATATTGCGACCCCTGGCAAAAGCCAGGGTTTGACTTCAAATAACATGTCTATTGTAGCGAAGGATGAAACACCTATTGCAAGGTTATGTAGGCAATGTATATCACGCAATCTTGAAGGAAAAACTGCCATCCAATATTATTGTTTTGCTCCTTCAAATGAACTCCGTTTTAATTTAATTTAGTTATTTTGGTTATTTTTGGTATTAAAGTTCTGTATATATATGTTATATACAATTCGAGGGTATACTATAAGCTGGTGGTGGGACAGACAAATTAACATTTAGCATAAAATTTAAGAGTTGTGTCCCTTGAATATTTCATTCAAAAAGAAAAATAGTTTACATTTTGTTTTCTTCCCTTTCCTGCCAGGTTAACATTTTAGTTAAAGTTGACAGGGCCCCTGGCTACTCTACACATCGCAGTCAACCTGAAACATATTAACCCACTGTTCTAGAGGTACTGTCATAAAAATATCCATTCCCTGGTTTCACTGTCCAATTTTTTTACAACTCATTTGGTATACAAGATCTTCTGAAAAACGCTAGTCTGTTCTGTGTGTGAAGGGTCACATTTGCAAATATTTAATCTCCTGCTTAGTGAGATACTGATACTAGTACATTCTGTTTTAGTATGAAATAACCAAATTTTTCAAGAGAAACTTTATTTTATTTCAACTCTTTTGATTCTAAACTGTTGTTACTTGAGTACTTTCCTACTTCACAGTTTGTACTTTACAGTAATATCTTTTAAGTGTTAACAAGATGGAATATTATAATTGTGGGTCAGTATGGGATAGGAAGCGAAAAAGTAGGATAAACTGGAACAAAGTTAAAAAAGAATATGACAGAAACATTTAAGGAATAATAAATAACCCTATGTTTAGTTCAGAGGACTTTGTATCAGTTTTAGTATAATTTATTATCAAAACGTTACTGATGTTTATGCCTGATTGTAAAGTTTAAATCAGCAAAAAAAAAGTTATGGACCCTTTTCCATGCCTTTAGGATTATAGGGCATATAGGGCTAGAACTATATTTTTAAAGACCAATCGGCACAAGATTGGAGATGTAGTCAGAATCTCATCAGCCGCAATTACTTCCTGAGACTGCACCCGGTACCAACTCAAGGCTGGGTTTTTTGGGAGCCAAGGTCATTTTTGAAAAAAAAAAGTCCGGCTCCGCCAAGGAGCGGACTCTCGACCTTCCTATCTGCAGTGAGCTTATAGCTGCTCCGCCACGGTGACTCCTGTAATATTAATAATATTAAAAATTAAACATAAAAACCCTAGTAAAATAACAGGCTTAAAAATAGGTTAGTATTTCTTGTGCGTTTAATATTCCTCTACATTTATTGTACAAGTAAAGTAAAGAAGCAGTTTTTTTTTAATGCTAGTGGCACATCGGGCAAATCCTACTAGACACTCAGTTGTTGATGTGGACAATGGCCGCCTTTACTTTACAAAGTATGACCTGGTAGCCATTTAAGGCTGGCTGGGCAGACTGGGAAGACAAAGTTAATTGTAAAAAACAAAAACAACTTTGCAACAAAATGGATTTGTGCACAAGACCCTCAAACCAGCAGGCGAGTGCCTACCCACTACACTGTGATGGCTCCTGCTCATTACTTTAGAGTTTTTTTTTTAATTGAAGAAGTGTGAATATAGTAAATCTAAGTATAGTATTCACAGTTTATTGTTTATTTAATTTAAAACTAACGTTAAATAATTGTGTCTGTCATTTTCATTTGAATTACAAGACCGAGTGAGTGATTGCCATCTTATTAATGTGGTTTTTGTGGGAACAGTTGTTTTCTATCTTTCCTGTCATGGAGTACTGGTAGTAAACTCTTTTTGCTTAAGTACCTTCCTACTTCACAGTTTGTGCTTTAGAACAATAATTACTATTTTTTTTTCATGCATGGTGTTAGTTGCTTAACATTTCACAGATATACTGCACACATTTTATGAGTGTTATTTTAATGTTTGTGCTGTGATGGACTGTATGTATGGACATAACTTTTGTGTGTTTGTGTGTGTGTGTGTGGTTGGCTTT